CAGAGGTTGCAGTGAGCTAAGATTGCGCCACTGCACTCCAGCCTGGGCAACAGGGCGAGACTCCATCTCAAAAAAAAAAGAAAAAAAAAATTAGCTGGGTTTGGTGGCGGGTGCCCATAGTCTTAGCTACTTAGGAGGCTGGGGCAGGAGAATCACTTGAACTCAGGAAGCAGAGGTTGCAGTGAGACAAGATTGCACCACTGCACTCCAGCCTGGGCAACAGAGTAAGACTCCGTCTCAAAACAAAACAAAACAAAACAACAAAAACAACAACAGCAGAAACCTTCACAGCTTTTTATGAGACATTCTTCCACATCAAGTCTTTTCCAGGACTAATGTTCTGTTGCATGGCCTGGAGCGGTTTTGAGCAGGGGAGGGATGGAGTCAGATCTGGGTTAAGGAAGATTCCTCACGGCCCCTGTGGAAGGCAGACCACACAGAGGAGGCCTGGACTGGGAGAGCGAGAAACTGAAGCCATCATGTTTCCGGAGATGGAGACAATGCCTGAGTGAGGACGGGTGGTGGGTGCGTCCTGGGAGTAAGGGGATGGCAGTGATCATTGGAGGGGAGGAGAAAGGTGTGGCTCACCTGAATTCCCTACAGATCTGATCTGAGCTTCCTCAAGTGGCTCACGACCCAGGCTCCTTCCACGCCACTGCTGCAGGGGGTGGAAAAACTAATTTCTAGGAATTCGGAAGCGAGGGTTGGGAGAAGCTGAATCCACATCTGTCTACTTCATGCTTCCACTTTCAAGACAGTCTTTTCTCATGGGGAAAGAGGAGAATTGGCAACTTCTATAGCTGCTTCTGGGCTCAGTGCCATTTCTGGAAACACAAGAATGAATCTAAAGACAAGGAATGCAATTTTCCTTTTTTTTTTTTTTTTAGTAGATGGGATTTCACCATGTTGCCCAGCATGGCCTTGAACTCCTGAGCTCGAGCAATCCTCCCGCCTTGGCCTCCCAAAGCGCTGGGATTACAGGCATGAGACACCACACCCAGCCCAATTTTCCTTTTTTTTAAAAAATTTTTTTGCTAGGTGCAGTGGCTCATGCCTGAAATCCCAACACTTTGGGAGGCTGAGGCGGGTGGATCATTTGAGGTCAGGAGTTCCAGACCAGCCTGGAGAACATGGTGAGACCTCCCCGCCCCGTCTCTACTAAAAATACAAAAATAACCTGGACATGGTGGTGGGCACCTGTAATACCAGCTACTCGGGAGGCTGAGGCAGAAGAATCGCTTGAACCTGGGAGGTGGAGGTTGCAGTGAGCTGAGATCGCGCCACTGAATTCCAGCCTGGGTGACAGAGAGAGACGCCATCTTAAATAAATAAATAAGTAAATCAATAGAAGTTGTCACCACCACCTGCTTGCTACTCCCTTAAATTCTTTCCTGGGTGAAGCCAAGAACTGTCCCGGGCTAAGCCCTGATTTGGGGCCTCACCTGCCTAGCATCACAAGGATAAATCCATTGAAAGCAGGTGCTGAGTCACCCGGTGCTGAGTCGCCCTGTTGGTTTTCAACTAGAAGAGAGATTATCATCATCAGGGACATTTATAAAAGTTATATATAGGAGGCCGGGCATGGTGGCTCATGCCTGTAGTCCCAGCACTTTGGGAGGCTGAGGCGGGCAGATCACTTGAGGTCAGGAGTTTGAGACCAGCCCGGCCAACATGGCGAAACCCCGTCTCTAC